AATTAGTAGCACTTAACACACATGAGTCACTTATACAATTTACTCCATTTAAACTTGAACTGAGTATGTGGGAAAAGTTAATCATTATTGCTTATACTTTTGCATGCTATCAACTGCATATTTGAGTTATTATATATTGTTACCTTTGTCATTTGTGAAAAAAGGGGGAGATTTTTTTTTTTTTTTTTTGAATAGGAGATAATATTTGAATGTTTAGCTATATTAAGTTTTGATGTTTAGTGTCAATGTTTGGTTTTGATGTGCTGGCTTACATTGATATTGTATCTTAATTTCGTTGGCATATTGTTGAATTTATGAATAATTGTCTCAAACACTTTTATTCATGTTACTGTTTTACGTTCTTTTACACTTGGTATTTGAGTTGTTTTTCAGGAAACGGGTTGAACAAAGGAAAAACAAGATTCAGCCGAGTCAGTTGATTTTGGGTAGATTAGTTTGAATCTATTTGATTTTTCATAAATGTTTTTGTCACATAATGCCAAATGGGGAGTTTATTAGGTTTTAAAGTTGTTAGCAATCTTTTGACAAAACTATTGTTGTAAAAAAGTTTTTAAAATTGAGTGTCAGGTGGTTAGTTAGAAGTCCTAGCGTTCGAGTATGGAATGAGGAGAAAATAGTCGCTACAATTTCGTTAGCGTATCGTCTAGTTGATGCTCTAATGGTAAAAATAGAAGTTGCATCTCCCACTTATCGTCTAGAGCTCAAGCACCGTCGTTTGCCTGTCGCTCGAGCAACAATATATCCCGAGAAAACCTAATTGACTTTTCTCAAGGTTTTTATTCAGCCCATACTACCCAAAACCTCTACAGCATATATATCCATACCTCCATTCGAAAAAGTAGGATTGAACATTGAGAAAAATAAGTGATTACTTCCTACAAATCATTCTATTAGTTCCATCTTCATTTTGATTTATTCATAGCATTGAAAAACAGCAATTTCACATAAACAAAACACCAAACCACTTACTTCCATAACATCTGTCAGAATTCTGAAGATAAGGAACGTGAGCAGAGTTCCGATTGTTGGAGAATGAGGAGTTCTCGTTGATCCACAGGAGATAAACGAATTTAGAAGACTGAGATTTGGTTCAGGAGCACGTAATCCAGGAGGGCTTTGGTAATTACAGTCAGAAGGTCAAAAAGTACTAGAATTAGTCGAATCTGACACTACTGTAAGTCGATTCGTTTATTGTGGATTTTTACTGGCTTGGGCCTAGAATTTTTACCTAGTTGCGAGTTTTCTCCATCAACAATTTTCAAGTCTTATTTATTTTTCAATAATTTATTATCTGTGACAATTCAACATAGAATAGTAGCTCATGTGAATTCATGTGGATTAATTAATAACTGTGACTTG